TGGCAGTGCCACCCAGCACTCAGTGAAAGACAGGAGTGGCTGGGGCTTCCAACAGTGAATCTTAGGGAAGAGACAGCACAGAGGAAAAGGACTCCGAGTTCCTGGGGCAGGTAAACACTGGGGTTGAGTGACAGAGGAGGGCTGGTGAGCACGGTTTGCCATGGAGGTTCTTCTGGTGCCTCCCCAGCCTGAGGAGGCCCAACCTTCTCTCAGGGGACCAACTCTGTCCTTTGTGGTGGACAGGGGAGGCTGACACCTTTGTAAATTTATGCCCGGCTTTGAGGCAGAGCACCTTTTAAACATATGTTCTTCTCTGCTTCTACTCTGTTGCCTTCAGCTTAAAATAATCCTTATGCCAAAATGTGTTTTTTTGGGGGGAGGGGTAGCACTCTATCACATCTTTGGGCACTAATGGAAGATAATTTTTACAGAGTGGCTCTCTGCTGTCTTCCTGCTCAACACTGCCCCATGGTGGCTCTGGTTTTGCACCTATCTTGAGAAGGTAGAACCTTCTCTTGAATTCCATTTTCCTTCATTCAATGTTTTTTTTTTTTTTTCTATTTTACTTACGTTTATTTGATTTAATTAAATTACTGCTATGGTTTGAATGTGTCCCTTAAAAGTCCACGTGTTAAAACCTAATCCTCAATTTCATGTTACTAATATTTGGAGGTGGGACCTTTGGGAGGTTGATCAGGATTCAGATGAGGCCAGGAGGATGGGTCTCATGTGACATCAGTGGCTTAGATGCAGAGAGGTCTGAGCTAGCACACAGACTTACTGTCACAGTCTCTGCCAGGTTATGATACAGCAAGGGTGTCCTCACCACATGCTAGCACCATGGTACTGGACTAGCCAGCGTCAGAGCCATGGGCTAAGCCTCTGTTCTTTATAAGTTACTTGGCCTCTGGTATTCAGTTGTAGGAACAGAAAATGAACCAAGTCTGTTGCATCCTAAATGAATTGGGAGGAAGGAAATATCACAGAGTGTGACTTGGAACCAAACACACTGTGCAGCTGCTCTTAGCTGTGTGCTTGCTGGCTGAGGGAATGCCTCAAGTGGTACAGCACCTGCCTAGCAAGCATGAGGTCCTGAGTTCAAACCCCAGTGATGCCAAAAAAAAAAAAAAAAAAAGAGAGAGAGAGAATGCTGTGTGATTGTGGGCTGCTACCTAATCTTTCCAAGCTTTAGTTGTCATGTGCACCATGAAGCTCAAAAACACAAAAAGCAAAAGCAAACTTGCTTAGAACATCATGAACAAAATGACAATTTCAAAACTAGTAATTGTTACTATTTTTCTCATGCCATTGTTTCACACATTAAGTACTAGCTACCAACCCAACTACACCTTCAAATGCAATACACATCTATGCTGGGTTTTGTCTCAATTTACAAAAGGGAAACTGAAGCAGAGTGGGTAAGTAACTTGCTATGGTGAGCATACCTAGTCAGTGGACTCAGCTCAGGCAATGTGGCTCTGAAGTCTGTTATTTTAACTGCTGCACGTGACCTGGTGTTGGTGGATCCCTGGTTGAAACTATGAACTAAAAGTTTCCGTAGGCTGTGATGACTATTCTACCTAACAGAAGATAACGTGGAGTTCGTCCTTGCCCCAGCATGCTACATTTTTTTTGCATAATCTATAAAACTTTAAGGAAACTGAAAAGCTATGTGTTCCTATTCTGTCACTACTGACCTCATCTTTACCACAAGGGGATGGCTGACTTGGAGTGAGAAAGCAGTATTTCTGAGTATAGATTGTAAAACAATCTCCAGGATTTGAGATAAGTTTTTAACATTAAAGAATCAATGATATTCTGTTCCAAGGAAATGCAAGTAGAAACTTGGAAGGCACTTACCTTCTTCCATACTCCTGAGTTTATTCGTATCAGAATCTATTGAACAGCTTTAAGAATGTATTCATGGTGGTGAGTTTTATGTGTCAATTTGACTGGGCCATGGCCGCCCAGATCTTTGGTCAAACATTATTCTGGGTGTGTCTGTGAGGGTGTTTAATAAATTTTGGCAAACTAAGTGGATTGTCTCCTACAGTGGATGGGCCTTATCCAATCAATAGAAGGCCTGAATAAAACAAAAAATACTAATTATTCCCAGTAAGAGTGTCCTCTCTGCCTTCTGCCTTTAGACTGGACATCAGCTTTTTTCTTGCCTTCAGACTCAAGATGGAAACATTGACTTTTCCTGGGACTTGAGCCTGCTGGCCTTTGAACAGGAACTGGGTCTCCAGCTGTGAACTCAGTCGGCAGATCTGGGTACCTGTCACCCTCCACAATTCCATACACCAGTTCTTCATAACAAATTTATGTGGTGTGATGTATATGTGTACATTTGTATTCATGCACACATTGTATTAGTTCTTTGGAGAACTCTATACAACACTCTTGTTTCTCCAATCCACCCTCCTCTTCCAGACTCACTTCTGTAACTTACTTGAGGCCTTTATTCCTTCCCTGGACACTGGAAATCATCTCCTTCCTCCAGTGTCATCACACCCCATTCACCCACCCCTCTGCTTCTGGAATGCTCATAAAATCCAAGTGGCTATTGCCGCAGTGGGTGGTTGTTTTTATGTTTTTGTGGTCCTGGGGTTTGATCTCAGGGCCTCTCGATTGTTAGGCAGGTACTGTGTCACTTAAGCCATGCTCCAAGTCCTTTTTGCTTTAGCTATTTTTGCAGATGGAGAGTGTGTCTGTGTTTTAGACCGTGATTATCACCAAGCCTGGCTTGTTTTTTTTCCAGTACTGGGGTTTGAACTCCAGGCCTTCACCTTGAGCTGCTCTGCCAGCACTTTTTTTTGTGTTGGGTTTTTTTGAGATAGGTTCTTGTCTATTTGCCTGGGCTGCCTTCGAACCTCGATCCTCCTGATCTCTGCCTCCTGAGTAGCTACGATAACAGGCGTGAACACCGGTGCCCGGTGCCTGACTTGTTTTGTTAAGTCTCCCTAACTTCTTTGCCTGGGCTGGCTTCAAATCACTCTGCCTCCCAATATAGCTGGATTACAGTTGTGAACCGCCACACACACTGAGCTCGCGCTGCTTTTTAAATTATATTTACCATACCATGTCACACCTTCAGGATGGGATCAAGCCCTTCCACATCTACTCAGAGCCTCTCTTCAGCCAGTCCACACTCCTTGCCACTCCCTGTGCAGAGCAGATTGCCTTAGGCCTTGACCCTGGACTGTGTGTGCTTGGTCCTCTCTGTCTGGGAGGCCTTTTCTTCCTCATTCGCCAGGAAGCCTTTAGGAAGTGATCTGGCCTAGGTAGCTCAGGCTGGCTGGCTTAAACAACGGACACTTATTTCCTCAAACTTTTAAAGACAGGAGTTTAAGACTATTTGCCAGATACTTCCATTCCTTTTGTGACTTACAGACAGCAGCCTCTCACTGTGTCCTATGAGGACAGAGAGTTGTGGTCTCTTCCTCTTGTTATTAGGACACCAGGCCTATTGGATTGTGACCTCACTCATCCTTTATTACCCCTCTACTGGGCCCCATCTTCAAATGCAGTCACCCGGGAGGTTGCAGCTTCAACACATGAACTGGGGGTACACTGAGTCCATAACAACACCCTTATCCCTTCTTGGCCATCTAGCTTCTCCTTTCCCTACCTCCCTAGACCCTCATTCTGAGTCTTCACAGTGCTACTAGAGTTTCTTGTCTTGTGAGATCCTTGCACGATCAGCCACCTGGCTATAGGAAGTCGGTCTTGTCTGTCTCTTCACTACTTAACTTAGGGCGTAGAACACAGTGGGGCTTCAATTTAAAGTCTTGACTAAATGGGTTTCACAGAGCCTTCTGGACATCCAAACCGAGATATTCAGCTGATGCTTCAAGCCCTCCATATTCCCCAAGCTAAGGTGTTATTTGCATCTGACCAGCGCATGGTGCATCCTCCTGCCAGTGATTCAACCTTGTTCAAACTGCCTTGTTTCTGCCCTGCCTAAAGCACTCCTCTCCTTTATTTTCCCTGAACATCACAGGCCTCCTCCTAGGTTTTCCAGACCTACCGGCCTCATTTTCTCTCATGTGCCTGAATTCTAATCCTATTAGACCCTATGGCTGCCAGCATGGCAGTACTTTCCATCCGGTCCTTGCCCTCTTTGACTCGACCCTTGTCTCACAACACCCGGACTGAACCATTCTCCTCCTGGCCAATCTCAAACACTAACTAATGAATCCTTTTTCTAAGACAGAAATGAACAAACTGAAACTCAGGTTCTCCTATTCTGTCACACAACAAGCAGCAGAGAGGAGGTGATGACATTCTGCATTCTACTTGCATCTCGGATCGTAATCTTCAGGCCACCTGCTTTAGGCGACTGAGCCCCATTTCAGCTCCACGTGTGAGAACTGGCGATGAGGCTCCAGAGTCACTGTGCTCCGACAAGTTTCCTATCCACGCTGCAGTGTGGAATTCCCTCTCTCTCCCGGACTGTTCTGGCAAGAGGACCCAAACACCCCCAAGAAGCAAACCACCACAATCACGGCACACCGGACCTTTGTACCCTGTAGGCAGCCACGCTGGCTCCGTCCCATGAGAGCACTGAGTACACACATAGAGACACACACCCTCCTCCGCGCCCCATGGCGGCGGGCCTCCGACGGTCCCCAAGTGCTCAGCAGGTCTCGCAGGAAGCCCGGGCACCTATCGCTGGACACCGACCGCCCCCTCTTCCCCGCCGCCTTCGGAAGTTCCCAGGCGGGCCGTAGGCTTGGCCTCGGTTGACCATACAATTAAATGCAATTTAACGCGGTCCATAATGTAATTCCGGTAACAACATGCCACAGAAGGATTTGCGAAGAGCCCGCCACGTGGGTGAGACCCCGCCCCCGCGCCAAGCTGGAGGTCCAGGCTCACGGCTCACCCGAGCCCCGCCCCTCACCTCGAGGCCCCGCCCCCTGCGCACCAGAGGCCCCGCCCCTCACGTCCATCCCCTTAGAGGCCCCGCCCCCGACGTAAGGGGCGGGGTTCCGCCTGCGCGGCCTGCGCGCCCTGCGGCTTCTAAGGCGGCCGTTGGCCGTTCGCGAGGCTTGGGCGGTTGTCTTGGAGAAGCAAGATGGCGGCAACGACGGCCGCGGTGGTGGCCGAGGAGGACACAGAGCTGCGGGACCTGCTGGTGCAGACGCTAGAGAACAGCGGCGTCCTGAACCGCATCAAGGTGCGGCAGGCGGCCGCGCGGGCCCGTGGGCGCCGTGTCGCGGCGGCGGCGGCGGCGCGGGGAGGGGCCACGCGGCGGGCGGGACGCGGCGGGGCCGGGCGGGCCTCGGGGCTCCGCATCCCCGGCGGGGCGCGCGTCCCTCCGTCCGCTCCGCGTGCTCCGCACCCGCCGCCGGCTCGGGGCGTGTGAACGGCGCCCGCCGAGCGCTGCGTGTCGTGAAATTGTCGTGAAACAGCTTTTCTTTTCTTTTCTTTTTTTTTTTTTAAGGCCGAACTCAGAGCCGCTGTGTTTTTAGCGCTAGAGGAGCAAGAAAAAGTAGAGGTATGGCATCTCCAGTCTGTACTGTGACCACCTTGTGTTCGTGGACGCCTGTTCTCACGAGTGAAAGAACTGAGCCCAGATGGGGAGATTGACCCGCGAAGGGCTGTGTTACGTTCCTTTGGGGAGGGAGCCCAGGTCACTCCTTGCCCGCGTCTTTCTGCATTTTTTTTTGGAGAGGCCACTAAAGGGAACACAGAAGAAATGGTTTGGTAGTCACGGAGTCACTGATCCTACAGCCGTAGGATCGCTCGGCAGCCTTTATAAACTGCTGGGCATGGTGCATTCCTTCAGTTCCCCCGAACTGTCCGATCGCTCAGATAGTGTGAGATCTCAAGTGTTTTAAACGCACCGGAAACTCTTCTTATTGTCGAAAGCTCAGCGACACCTGGGTGTTTAAAAAGTGGATAGTTGAGTTCTTTTTTTCCTCCCTGTGTCCAAGTTCCCCCCACCTGTCCTGCGTACAGGACATCTTGTCCGCAAGAAGCACTTCATAAACCAAGGTCTCAGAGTCCTCCTTTGTGACCAGTCTCCCACGCTTCCAGCTCTGAAGACTTACACAAGTGCTCTTCAGCCTCATCAGGTTCTTCAGTTCGGGCAGGCATGCCCTCAGCGTGGGCGGTGGAGCTTAGAGGATCACTGAATCCAACTTGGGCAAGAAAGTCGGTCAGATCCTGCCAAAAATAGGCCTGGTGTGGTGGTGCTGCTCAGGAGGAGGAGCTTGGAGGGTCCTGGGTTGAGGCCAACTCCAGCAAAAAGGTTAAGTGAGACCCTGTCAGGAAAACAAGGCAGAAGGGGCTGTGGAGGCTTAGCTCAAGCAGGAAGCCCTGAGTTCAAACCCTGGTACTGCCAAAGAAAGAAAAATAGTAGAACAAAGACAAACAAAAATCCTTTAGTTCTTTGCCCTTTCTTTGTCCAGATAACAGTCTCTTGGCCTTTTGTTCTGGACTAGGCCAGATCCTGTGGTCCCTCAGACACCCCAGTTACCTTGCTTTCCAGTCGTACTTGGTTTGGAAGCAGTCAAATGGTTATTTGATTCAGAAAACTGTGCACTGCTTCTGCATGTGCACTGCTAAAGAAAAAGTCACTTAACCATGTGATTTGGTGATGCTACACGTTGGTGGACACCCACAGCCTCAAGGCCCAGGGCAGGACCTGCGGTTCTACCTTCTACTTGGCAGCTCCCACTTCAGCTGCACTTTAGCCATCTCCCTCATCTGTCTCTCACTGCACACACACACACACATGTCTCTCACTGCACACACACACACACACACACACACACACACACACACACACACACAGTCTTTTCTGGGCACCAATAATCTTAGGTACTGGAGAGATGGAGATCAGGTGGATTACTGTTTGAAGCCAGTGCAAGCAAAAAAACAAGACCCTGTCTCAAAAATACCCAACACACAAAAGGGCTGGCGAGGCTTAAGTGATAGAGTGCCTGCCTAGCAAGCATGAGGCCCTGAGTTCAAATTCGAGTACCACCAAAAAAGCCAGAAGCCGTCAGGTCCTAACTTTCTGTCCTATTCCTCTTGCTCCCAGTCTGTCGCTTAGCTCAGGAAAAGCATACCTCTTTCTGCTTCAGTAGAGAGGCTCTGTCTTGTCTGTAATTACTTTGGGTTTTGTCTTCCACATATATACCTGATCTCTTCAGTTAACTGCTTTCCCTTTGAGCCCTCCCTTTCTGTTGGCTTTTCTCTTGAGCATGAAAACATGTTTAAATCTCTCTTAAGGAGAAAATTCTTTTCTTGTACTCATATTCTAATTGTTTTCCCCACTTTTATTTTTTTCCTCACAGCCAAGTTTTTGTCTCCAGCTTCATATGTACAAGGCATCTCTTAATCTATAAAATTTTAAGTCAGCCACTGATGCACCTGAAGCGTTTCTCTTGCTACAGTCAAGAAGACTCCTAATTGAGCATACGCTAGTTCTTAACTGTTTCGGTTGATCGTTGTGGCATTTGACGCTTGTAATTCCTTCTTCCTTTTTGAAAATCTTTCTTGACTTTTGAGACTGTTTTTGTTCTTTTTTTCTTTTGTCTACTCCTTGGTTTATTTAGCATGATCTTTTTTCTGTACACTGCCCTTAGACTGTTGATGCCCTGTCCTGTAGTTCTGTTTTTGTTTTTTTTTTTTGAGAGAGGGTCTCTGTAGCCCAGGCTGGCCTCAAACTTGGAATCCTCCTGCCTCAGCCTTCTGAGTGTTGGGGTTAGAGGCATGCATACCCAGCTCTGTAGTTTTTCTTGTGCATTCCTTCCCTGGTGGCCTAACAACACCAGTAATTTCAGCTGTAGATCTTTAGTGCACATCTCTTCCTGAGCTTCAGATCGTGTATTAAGCTGCATAATAGACTGACCTTACTGGGAGGGCCAGGCATGAAATAGGAATTTCCTAGACCTTGCCTTTACACCTGCTCTGCCCTTGACTGGCTGTGCATGGTAGATCTCTGTATGGTGTCTGAGCAAGGTGTCCTGCCTGCTTTGCCTGTGCTCAGGTATTTTCTAGAGTGCTTTGTCAAACCCTTCCTACTCTCCAGTCTTCTCTTTCTGGTGCCCCTCTCCTTCTCAAGCCCTTTCTTTATATTGTTTGTAGACTGACATTTATAATACATCTGTGATCTTGTCCCTCCATTTTCTTCGAATAGTTCAGTTGACTCAGCATCTTAAAATTCCCTAGATTAGCCTACAGGAACCTTTATTATCTTTCCCTTCCTTGTATTTTAACAAGTTAATTGAGGTATAATTGATCTGCATTAAGCTCAGCATATTTAAGATATAAAATTTGATAAACTTTAGCACTCATGGAACTGAAATGATCACCATAGTCAGGACTGTGAACATAACCATGACCCTTAAAAGTCCCCTTGTGTCCTTTTGCTATACTTTCCCATCCCACCCTACCCCAAGTGTCCTCAACATTACGATCCAGGTAAATGGAGCTATAGATTGTATGTGTATGCTTATTTTTTTGGATTTCTCTTCTTTCATTCAGTGTGATGCATTTAACATTCATCCACACTGCCGAGTATATTGTTACTCCACGTAGTCCTGATTTCAGGGGTAATAGATCGGCCCATTAAGTGATTGAATATGACAGTTTGTTCAGTCTGTTACCTGTTGATGTAAGTAATTGTGTTGTTTCTAGTTTTTTTAAATTATTATTGTAAATAAGGCTGCTATGAATGGTCATGTATAGTACTTTGCTTGGATTTATTATTTCTCTTGAGATAATACCTAGGGTAGAATGACTGGCTCATATGCCAGGGATATTTTTTAACTTTTTGAAAAGCTTCCAAACTGCTTTCCAGAGTGGTTGTGCCATTTTGCATTCCACTGGTGGCTACTGGGCCAGTAACTGGTGTGGTCGGCCTAAGGAGTCTCACATGCCATCTTTGTTAGCCTCCCTCTGAGCAGAGTAATCGCTTCTGGATGTGCAGTATGTTTTCCTATATTTATGCATGTCTGTAATTACAGAACTAAGTTTGTCTTATGACCACATAAAACAATCTCATGCACCATGATGAACTGGGAACTGCAACTAATATAAATGTCAGATCTCATCTATTGAAATAATAAAGAGTTGTTTAAATTTAATTTCATCTTGCACACGTATTTGGAGTTGTATGGCTTCAAAAGCAGCTTAATAAGTAATTTATAAAATGCTTAAGGGTGGGGGTGGGATATACCCAAGTGGTAGAGTTTGTACTTGTCTAATGTATAAGGTCTTCAGTTCCATCCTGAGCACTGTAAAAAAATTTAAAAATTGAAAATAAATACAAATCTTCCTATATGGTTTTATTAATTTTGAGAAATTATTAAATAGTATAAATCAAAGTAGGTCTTTTAGTAATCAGCAGTTGTGAAATGGATTTCATAAAACCATAATTTTAAAATTGACAATGTACTATCTACATCTTTGCCTCAGAATTAAACTTTAACGTATATTTTCATAGTTGTTTTTGGGATAAGTATGATACTTAATGTGTTTCTTTTTTTTTGACAGAATAAAACTCCTTTAGTCAATGAGAGCCTGAAAAAGTTTTTAAATACGAAAGATGGTAAGAATCTACTTGTTCTTATTTATCTGCCTCTGAATTTTCAAGTCACCATTTGGGAGAAATCAGGAATGTCAAGGTTTTTTAAAATCTGATTATTTACAGATCCTCATTTTAAAATAATATTTTACTGTAGAACATTCAAGTTGCTATTAAATATTTTTGGTCTTAGGAAGTTCTTGATTTATAGTCAACTTTACTATAAAAATCCAATTTTACTATAAAAAGTGAAACACTGAAATCTATTCATGAAATGTTACAGTGTCTTACACTTAGTTCCAGACCAATGATCCTAAGAAACAAAAAATGAGGGAGATTGGTTTGTTACTCAAAGAGAAGAAATTTGTAATAGGAAGAGTTTAGAAGCCTCTTTTCCTCTGTTGAATGGGTTTTATTTCACAGTGGTAATCAATTCAAAGTTCTTAAAAGATTTGCTGACATAGCTTTTTCTTGATCTTTACAGGTCGTTTAGTGGCTAGTCTTGTTGCAGAATTTCTTCAATTTTTTAACCTTGACTTTACCTTGGCTGTTTTTCAACCTGAAACTAGCACAGTAAGAATAATAATTTTTTACAATCTATTCCATGAAATGTTTTTTTTTGTGTGTGTTGGGACTGGAATTTGAACTCAGGGATTCATTCATGCTTGCAAAGCCAGGTCTCTACCATTAGAGCCATACCTCCAGTCCATTTTACCCTGGTTATTTTGGAGATGGAATTTCATGAACTTTTTGCCTGGGCTAGCCGCTGGATCTCAGACTCCACAGTGGCTAAGATTATAGGCACGAACCACTGTCGCCCTGCCCCATGAAACCTTTGATACAAATGAGTTAATATTAAGCTGAAAGTTAATAGAATTTGACAACTTATAGTTGTTTTTAGGTAGATTTTTTTTTATTTGATCTTTTTTTTAAAAGCCATCTGAGGTGTCACAGAACAGGCACCAGTATTGCCGCTTCACATAACTTGAAGCTTGCTAATAAAGGAGTGTTACTGTAGAGTTAATTTTGTTAAGATGTTATGCTACAACCTTTTTCTTTTTTGCAGTACTGGGGTTTGAACTCAGGGCCTACACGTTGTGCCCTATTTTTATGATGGGTTTTTTTGAGATAGGGTCTTGCGAAATATTTGCCCAGGCTGGCTTTGAACTGTGATCCTCATCTCTGCCTCCTGAGTAGCCAGGATTACAGGCGTGAGCCACGGGTGCCTGGCAAGCTGCAACTTTTCATAGGGGCTTTGAACATCCTAGTTCTGTTAAAAAAAAAAAAAAGGGTAAAATTTTATAAATAGATAGTTCATTCATTAGAAAGATAGCTTTATTGAATTTAGAGATTTCTTTATGCTCCTAAAATATTTCTTTTAATCTCAGAATATACTTTCACTAGATTTTTTTGTGCACCTAAATCTTATTTCTTTTCTAGTTTCAAGGTCTTGAAGGTCGAGATAATTTAGCCCGAGATTTAGGTATCATTGAAGCAGAAGGTACAGTGGGTGGACCGTTATTATTAGAAGTGATTAGACGCTGTCAGCAGAAAGAGAAAGGGCCCACTGGTGGGGAAGTAAGTATAATCCTATGTTACCTTTTTTCTATTTTCTATTCAAGTTTTGGTTACTTAGGTCAGCCGTGTAGATTAGAACATACATAGTGAATCGGGTTGCATTGGGAAAAGATTCTCCTTTAAAAGTGAAATGCATTGATTATATAAATGTATTTTAATGAAATTCATGGTGTGCTCATTCTGACACTTTCATGTACCTGTTTTGTTTCTGGTCCATGGAGTGTTGGGTTTAGGAATCAGACTATCTGGGCCAAATCATAGCTTCTCACTGACTGGTTGTTGTTGACCTTGGACGTTTTATTTAACCTCTCTGTTGCCTCATTTGTAAAATGAGAATGATAAGGACCTCATGGCTGTTGTGAGGCCCATATGCATGAGTTAGTGTATGTATGTGTAGAGTGTGAGGATATGTCTGTCACCGTTCTAGTATCTGCTTAAGAGTCTGACTTCAGTCACAGAAGTGAACCCGTTAAAAGGTGGTGGATTGGGGCTACCTACTGTTTCCAATTGGAGAATCTCAGAGTGTATTTTTTGTTAGGATTTGTGAAAATCAGTGACGCTTGTCTGAGTATTCATTGTATTTAAGGCATGGTAAATTTATTCTGTAGGTAATACAAGATAAAACGTAGAGAATTCTGTCCTTGAGGTTTGTAAAAGAAGGACATGCTCCCATAAGGAAACTGTCATTTAAGTAATGATTTAAGATTAGAGAGAAAGGTCATACAATATGCGGTTATTTGCAAATATTTATGAATAATTGTTTTAGTTGAAAGGGTAAAGTAGTTGTTTGATGCTAAAGTTTTGCAGAGTTGACTGTTAATGTGAGAGCAGGATGTTGGTGATAGAGGAGGTTTGGGAAGGGGGTTCCAGGAAGGTAAAAAGTGGTTGCAGGAGAGCCTGGCCAGGTCCAGGATGGGAGGGAGTCAGCTGCCAAGTCTCATCTTGAGCACTGTAACTTCATTTGTTCATCTGTTCATCAGTTACTTGACAAATATTTGCTGTGCTAGGTACTAGGGCACAAAAAACTCCCCATAGCCAATAGTCTGCAGTTGTGATAACATCTCTGCTTTGACTCTTTCTTCCCCCTTTCCATGGCCTTGGCCTCTTTTCTCTTGTTACCTGCCCTTTTGTTTTCTTCTCCAGTTGCTCTTTGGTTGTCCTGATTACAGCGGTATTTGTACACATTTTTCTTGTTGATTCTGTCTCCCTTCCTGATTCCCTGTGAACTCTGGAGCCAGGCTGCTGGATTGAGCCCCCAGCTTTGTTGGACCCCATGCTTTAGGTTCTGCCTCTAAAAAGTAAGTTAAAGGAACCAATCTGAGGGAAGCTTTCCAGACAGTGCTTGTCGTGCAGGCTTTGAGGTATAAATATCAGTCATTGTTAGTATTTTTGCTTTTTAGTTTTGTGATGATTCTTTGTCTGTCTTGAAAATACCCAACACAAAAAAGGGGTGTCAGAGTGGCTCAAGTGGTAGAGCAACTGCCTAGCAAGCCTGAGGCTCTGAGTTCAAACCCTAGTACTGCCAAAAAACCAAAACAAAACAAAAAACAAAAGCCACCTTAAGAAGCACATCACTCACTGTGCCTACCAGGTTTTAATGTGACTTTTGGTCAATTTTATTAAATAGTAAAAGCACTTCCTGGCAAGTTTGAAGCTCTCTGAGTTCAAAAAGAAAAGCACTTTCTGTTTTCTGAGCTCAGTGAACCTTTCTCATCCCATTAGCGTCTTTTTTTTTTTTTTTTTTTTTTTGGTGCTACTGGAGTTTGAACTCAGACTCAGGGCCTTACACTTGCTAGGCAGACTGTCTATAGTTGAGCCACTCTACCAGCCGTTTTTTGTGATGGGTTTTTTTGAGATACAGTCTTGTGAAATATTTGCCTGGGCTGGCTTTGAACCTTGATCCTCCTTATCTCTGCCTCCCAAATAGCGAGGATGACAGGCATGGGCCACAGATGCTAGGCCCCCATTAACATCTTTATCATCTGTGTCCTCGTTTGTGTTCAGCATCATCATTTCCTCCTCAGGATTTTCATCTCATCAGTCTCTTTACTGGTGCTGGATTATCTTTAAAACTCAGCGCTTCCTGTTTTAAAATTGCAGTGACAATTATGTACTGTCAGCTTGAGTCTCGACTCTGCACCATTCACTTAAGATCCTGCATGATACTCCCTCCACTAGTTTGTCTAACCTTAGGCTTTTGAAGTGTGGAAACTGTAAAGAGTGAGGATTTGGAAATATTCACATAGATTTTACCAGCTGAGCATCCCCAGTCTGAAAATCAGAAATCTGAAACTTTGCTGGAGTTGGGAGTTTTCACAGTGAGGTGTAGAACTGTACTCAACTCAGACTGAACTTATTACTTGAAAGTGGCTGTGCTTTCTTGCCTGTTGTTATTTTCTCATCCTGTTCTCCACCAGGAATGGTTGAGTGTCCCCTTTCCCGGCAGTGAACTTTATCATTCAGGTTTCTCCTTAGCAACTCTTGGTGGTGTTTCCTCTTCTTCCTCTGATACTACTGGCAGTGGATACGTAACTCATTCCCTTACTTTGCCAAGTTATAAGTCTTCGCCTTCTTACTAGATCACAAGTCTGTTGAGACAGGGCTTTCTCTTCAAGTCCCTTGCAAGGCCTAAGACATGGTGATTCTTAACAGATACTTGTTTGCACTCACTGGAAAGTCTTTGAAGACTTTTGTAGAGTTATACCCACCTAGAAGGCATAGTTGTGAAGGTTAAAGAAAACTAGAAAGAAGTGAAACCTGTAAGGAGGCGAATCCAGACACCGGTTAACAACAAGACTAGAGATAAAGGGACAGAGGAAGATTGCCCTTTCAAGAAGAATCCACAAGAGTTGGCGTGTTAGTACTCTGGCAAGGGGCCAAGTGTTAGAAGGCAGTGTGGGAAGAGAAAGCTCAGAGGTGAGATGTGGGTGTCCAGCCTGGGAGAAGATGGTACTCTCTTCAGATGCAGCGAGGCTCAGGGAGAAGAGGCGTCAGAAGATCAGCTCAATTTCTTATTTAAAGCATTATGTTGTTAAAGAATTTCTGTAATGAAATAGCCAATATTTAATATGCATACAGTGTCACAGAACTTGTGGTGAAAGTAGTAGATGAATTCCAGGAAGTGATTTCTATTTAAGAAACATTAAAAAAAAAATCTTTGCATTTACCATGCTTAGAACTCTGTGATGACCGAGTACTGTGCTCAAGTAACTAGTTTGCGTGTAAGTGCTTTGAAAGATGCAAACACTGAAAACCTAAAACCGGGTGTTGTGGCACATATCTGTAATAATTCCAGGACTGGGAAGACTGAGGCAGGAGGATCACAGGTTTGAGACCAGCCTGGACTAAATGGTGAATCTCTGTATCAAACAAACAAGCAAACAACCCAAAGAGGTAGGGAAAACAGAAACAATGTGGTAATATAAAAGGAAGAAAGAACTGTTCTTTGAAGGGGGTCAAGCTTGTTTTTAGGAGAGAGTTGCTATTTGATATTTTTTGTAGACATAAAATGAAATAAGGAAGCAAGCCTAAGAAGGGTAGGAAAAGTAGATGTTTGAGAATCACACATAGTATTAACCCGGAGGGAAGGGAGAAGGATAGGAGGCAGCCATTTTTGGACAGGTAGATGGGCGTGTGGCGGTGTAGCCTTGGAAGCCTGTTGAAGGTGACAGAGTGCAATGCTTTGTAGGTGATTAGAATCTGGGTGTGTTTCTGTAAAATTAGAGCAGCATCTAATAAAAGATACTTATATTATTGAGGAAGAAATAAAAATGCTAACATTGTATAGTTTTTAAATGTTAAAATTCCATTGAGGTATAATTGGTGTATTCATGTTTAGTTTTAAGTGTGTTTCATTTTAAACTGTGATTTCAGGGTGCACTGGATCTGTCTGATATACACTCTCCACCAAAGTCACCAGAAGGAAAAACAAGTTCAAATACAATCCCAAGTAAGGTGAGTGAGCAGCTGATACAGAAGTAATGTCTGGACTGAGACTCCAGAGGGCTCTGCTCTTCTCTCTTTTCTTACATATTCTGTTGTTCTTTTGTAACAAGTGCTCTTTAGTTTCTTGAATGTCCATTTTCCCTTTGATTAAGTAGGTTTTTTTGAAAGTTCTTTGTTTCATTGGTACAATTTTGAATTTTATATATTAGAGAAAAATATGCCCTTAAATATCAGAATTGTAGAGTATTTGGACTCATTTAGACTCATTTAAATATTTTTATCTTCCATTAACAAGAAGGTTTTCTTAGTTCTCAAGAACCCATAGCTCAAGAATATTAGGCTGCAGAATAAATTGTGCTGAATATTATGAATTATTAGATGGATGACACAGACTTCGGAATTGTAAATAATGATGGTTATTTATCTGAGCTAACTCTTTTGGTAGGACTTATAGAAGAATGTATGCACTGTGGTTAATTTGTGTGTGTGTGTGTGTGTCTGTGTCTGTGTGTGTGTTTATGAGTTGATGATAAGACCTGATTTCAGGAATATCGAATAAAGAAGAGAACAGTTGAGATGAATACTTGAATTTGATATCTGTTTCATAATTGAAGAATGATCAGAAAGAGGGTCTTCAGTGACTGGCTAGAGTACAGCATGAGTGAACTGGTAGTTCTGGTTGATCTTAGTCTTGTAAAAGAAGGGCTTTGGGTCATGTCTTAGTCTGCTCAGGCTGCTGTAATAAAATACCACGGACTGGGTGGCTGATAAACAGCAGGCATTTGTTTCTCACAGTTCTGGAGGTTGGACATCCAAGGTCAGGGTACTGGTATATTTTGTGTCTGGTGAGGGCCAGCCTCCTGGTGCATGGATGGTGCTGCCTTTGTGTGCTTCCATTGTGGAGGGGCAGAGGAGCCTCTGGAGCCTGTTTATGAAGGGTGCATCTCTCGACCTAATCACCTCCCACAGGTCCTACTTCCTAATTCCAGTACTTAGGGGTTGGGATTTCAACACAGTGAATTCTGGGGGGGACACACATGCAGTGCATCCAGGTCAGGCAGTGTTCTGTGAGTTCTCCTTTGGCTCCTACTCCATAGCAGTAGCGTGGTGCTATTGGAGTACATTCCAAAGGTGAGTCTGTGGGTTCAGGGCAGCGCATTGATTTTAGATGCAAGTTAGATCTTGTTAAATGAAGTGACTGTCCAGAGCTTGGTAATCATATTGCCATATTTCTTTCTATTTAAACATCTAGGCAGAACACTGCTGAATGATGCGGTTGTTATTTATTGCTTGTTCTTTGATGATTTTCTCCTTTTGAAGTTTATAGAGCCAAAGAAATTTTACCCTTCTAGCCAGGGAAGAGATTATTAATCGTTGAAGTGTTGCTTCCCTCTGCAATGTCCAGTTAGCCTATTCTAATAGGGAAGGTCTTTTTCTAAAGTTTTTTTTTTTCCCTTGATGCTTGTGGGAGGCTACAACCTGATGACAGAACAACTTATGAATAGATTTTACAAATTCTTTAAAATTTATCACTGATAAAAGAGCCTGTGGAAGGAAGCCTTGTTTTCTATGAAAATACCTGACATTAGAGATTCAAATTAAGGAATATTCCAAACTACTTTTCAGTACCTGTAGTTTTGAGCTGGTTGGAAGTTTTCATTGCAACACTTACCTTCCAAGTAAGGAAGATCTTCAAGAAAAAGTATTAAAGTCTATTTTACATACTTTTTATTCTCTCTGCACAAAGAATTTTTTTAAAAGCTCTTAAGAATTAAGATGAGAAACCTACATATTTTATCTTTTTTTTACCCCCCCCTTTTTTCTTAACCCAAATAGTTTAAGTCAGGTACAATACACTACATTCTCAGAGAAGTGGTGATAATCTCTCAGGCCAGTTTAAAGTATAGTATCTGTCAGGGGCACAAGAAGTGTGAAAACACACTTGCTGTCAGTGCAGATTTAATGTGTGAGGTGGCACCATGAGCAGGGGTTTCAGGGGCCCCTCATTTTGGCCCTTGTGATGCAATTCTCCTGTCGTACTAAAGGGTTTGGATTTGGAATCTCAGTACTGCTTCTGCCTCTTCTAGCCAGCAGCTTCCTCATGGTTCTTCCCCAGCTTTGAGAGCCCCTGGAATGCATGAAGGACTCTGGGAAATTGTCATGAAGGATAGACCCAGCCTAAACTCAGGACCTGGCTTTGTATGCTGCTGAGGAAGTTCAGGCAAGACTTCACGAAGGCATTCAGGCAGGGCTTGTTAGAATGCTGCCAGATGGAGTGTCTGCAAGGGGTGTTCACACAGAGGCTGACGGTGCTGATCACAGTGTCTGCACCTGTTGAAATAGTTAAATGTGAGTTGAAACACTCTAGGGCTAGAGGTAAGAAAGGCCCCCCAAAAGCAGGCTTTGGAGAGGAACACACTAGTCATTCTTTGCATTTTTGAGAAATTTTCTAATGGAATCTGTTAGTTTGGTAATGAGTTACTTTATTTTTAAAGATTTATACTTTGTGGTAAAATGTCATTTTATTCTCATGCTCAGATACCAAGGTATAAAGGCCAAGGTAAGAAGAAGACAAGCGGGCAGAAGTCTGGTGACAAGGTAACATGCATGAGGGCACAGGACAAAAGCAGCCTGTGCCAAGACAGACCCTCAGATTCCTGGGGGCCTCGTGCTGGGCTTTCAGTTTTCCTTTGACGTAGAGCTGCCATCCATCTGTGATCAGAATCTGAGAAACCAATGCTGACTTAAGGCAAAAAGTCATTTGTCAGTTGAAAATCATACTGTTACGTTCTAACACCACGCTCTCAGCTTTACTTTGAAAATTCATGCTTTGTTGGCAATTGTAAAAAAGTTAAAAATTTTATGTTCCTTTTGAATGGATGCTCATGTCCATATTAACACTATTTTTATCTGAAGAAATAGAATATTGCATTACTTTCTGGACAAGTTCTGACCCATAAATTAAAGGCTACCCTTAGTTTTCTTCTAGACTTTTCATATGCTTCCTGCTGCTGTCCAGACCATTGCACAGGAGACCACAGGCCAATCCTGCACAGTGGTCAGGGCTTTGGCTGCTTTTTTTCCTCCCCTAAAGATCACAAAAACTGACTAAGCTGATAGACTCGCTGCTTAGGAAGCTTAACTGTTACTATTAGAGGTCTTAGAGACATTATCTGTAGAGTTTTACGTCTGTTTAAAATAAGATAAGATGATTGTCTTTAGTTCTTGTAGATCCTTTAGTCCCACGTTGAATCCTGATTTATGAATAGATTTTTGTCCATGAAATTGAAAATTCCCAAATAAAAGCTTTTTAAAAAATTCTATTTGCTGTGTTAATTGACTGTAGTTCAGTGGTTCCCAAGGTAAATTCTATTATTGTACTCTCTCTTGTGGCCACTGTTCTCTATGCATTACTTGAAGAGACAGTGTCATGTTATCCAGTAAGGGTTTTCAGAACCTTTGCATAGTGTGAGTCATTATGCTAGTGTTGTAATCAAGATACACTTAACACAGTCCTCACGGGAGGAGTGCATAGGTTAACTGGAGAGGTGAGGTGTTTAAGAAGGATAACTAAGATAAAACAGTGGTTTTTTAGATCTTAAAAGTTTTTTTGAAAGTTAGAAGTATATTTTGTAGTATTAAGTTTTATAATCTTACTGGTTCATAGGTCTTAAAGAAGTTAAAACATTTTGAGTACACTGATATGTAAACCAAAGCATGTTAAGACATGATTTCCATTGTGTGTGATGGAACACAGCTGGGATGGGCCCACACTTTGGCCTTCACTGTACACTGGACAGAGCCTTACAGGCCTGTGGTTTGAGGGGGGATTGAGGAATCTGAACTGGCCCTTACCTTGGAGTTTAGGCTGTCCTAAGCCTAAACTCCTGAGCCCAGGAGACTTTCAGTCACGTTGAAACCCCATTCTATACCATTTTTCTACGTCCTGATCTTGTTTGTGAATTCCCTTCCTTAGTGAGAATCTGTATTGTACCCAGCATTGCCTGTGTCCAGCCTTCAATAAATAAGCCCTTAGCTATTCTTCCCTCTGCCTTTCTGCTTTGCCCTGTGCATGCAGTAGGTTCCCATGTCCCTAACATTCTTAACAGCTTAATCCAGATACCGACTTGCATATGGTGGTTGAGATTGTGCCCACCAAGACTCCAGGGAAAGCCAATCCCACATAAGGTGAGTGGCATTTCCCAACTTGTGTGCAGTTGTAGGCTTCCTGCCCATGTGTCCTTGCAGACATGAAGTGCACGTGCATCGCAGGGGTGTGCGGTGTAGGAGGCTTGAGCAGAAGCGGGGTGGCCCAGGGAGCTTCTGGCCTTGGAGCTCTAGAGCCCTGAGCCAGGTATGTGGACTTGTCTTCCTGTTTATTTTGAATATAGGAAGGACGACACATGTTGATGGTTCATCCAGAGAACTGGGGAAGTTCTTCAGGGAACCTGTGTTCATACTATTCATATATTCATTCATATATATGTATATAAGATTATTATTATTTTTTTTTTTTTGGCAGTGCTGGGGTTTGAACTCAGGTGTTGTACCACATGAGCCATGTCACCAGCCCATATAAGCTGATTTGTAAGGTGTTTGAACTAATTAACTTGAGTAAAATTAAAAGGTCTTGCTTTTGTTGTTCAGAGACAGTGAAGAATAGAAGATGATTTTGGAATGCAGGGGGAGTAAATATTAAAGGGGAGGCATTTGTTTAATAAGTTAGATTTGGAAATATGCATTAATGCTTCCAGAGTGTCACTTGTGGCAATGTATTTCATTGTATCCCATTTTATTTCACCAAACATTGTCCTAACTGTCTGGAGCAAAAAAAACCAAAACAACAACAACAAAAACAAGTGCTTTTATATCCCAGCACCTAGGAGGCTGAGGTAGGAGGAGGATCTTGTGTTCCAAGCCAGCCTGGACTACTATGATCCCCACCTCTGGGGATCTGGACTTGACCTCTTCTCACTGCTTGTGAGCTAAACCCAGGAGGTGCTGGTGGATGGGGCAGGAGATCAAGGATGCACGTGTGGGACAGTTGTGCAGAGCACCATCCTCAAGGCTTGTTGCAGAGCCAGCAGAAGACCATAGTTGTGTTGAGCATACACAGGACTTAGGTTGTCTATTGGTAGTAGGGAGAGGGTTTCTGTAGAGACGCTGAGCTTTTGAAAGACTTTTAAATGTTTTGGGGTTGTAGAATTTTAAAGTACTTGTTTTTCTAGGTGAGCAAATTAAACTTTTAAAATACGTATGTGTGTTAGAACTGTAGTAAAATTCAGGACTTTGGTAAATCAGTCATGGATCAGAATCTGTCTTTGGCAGCCTTTGAGAGGGCAGTGGAGGCATATATGGGGAAAAGAATTAATACTGCATGGCGTTTTTGAGTATTTTTGCAGTTTCTGCTTTGTTTCCTTGACCTCGTTTCTCCTGTTATGAGCAGTGCAGATTAAGCTTTTAGTTTGGGAAAACAAAATTCTTTTCTTCCTCTTTTCCCTTCCTCCTCTCCCTTTCCCTTTCCTTTCTTGTGGTGCGAAGGACTGGGGGCCTTGTACATGCTAGGAATCAAATCCCCAGCCCATTTTCATTTGTTTGTTCGTTCATTCCTTCATTCATTCATTCAGGCAGTACTAGAGTCTGAACTCATGGCTTTGTGCTTAGTAGGCAAGTGCTCTACCATTTGAGCCACTCTTCTAGGCCACCATTTTCCAGGTTCTTAAAGACATCCTAGTGATAGTTCAATTTTTGGCTACTGAACAATGAGTAGTTTTTCACTGTGAAACTGCTTTCTAATGCTTGTTTTCTGTTCATCTGAAAATGATTGAACTCTCAACTACATAAGTGTTTTATTGGAAAATTAAGTGTATACTAAAACTTTTTTTTACATTTTTACTGTAATTTACCTTAAAGCTTACTAATCTTGACTTCCATCCAAGGGAGTTTGATGACTGTTCAGTGCTGTGCGGTAGGTCCCTATTTTTATAAAAACATGGAAATGAAGAAATTCTTTATTATAAATTGCTGTTCATTTCCTAGCACTGCCACAGAGTACAGTGGGAGGCCCAAAACAACAGAAGTGTCTTGTTTCACAGTCTGGAAGCTTGAGAGTTGGAAATCAAGTTGTCAGTAGGGCCTTGTTCCTCTCCTGGCTTCTTGTGGTGGCTGGCAAGCTGAGGTGATGTTTGGCCTGTAGATGGATCTCTGATCTCTGTCTCCATCATTACATTGTCCTGTGTCTCTTGTCATACACCCTGCTCCCGCATGGCCTCATCTTAAATCCACAAATCTGCAATTACACTGTTTCCAAGCAGTCGTAGTTTAAAATACTAGGAATTAGAACTTCAGTGTATCTGCTGGTGGGGTGCGGTGTGGTTCAATCCATAATAGCTTCTAAGGCATTAAATCATAAATACTTAACCTTAAATCATAAATACTTAACCTTAGCTATTTAGCTTCACCTTGAATCTTTAGTTTATTCAAATCCAGGTACTAGAAAACCCAAGCAGTTAGTTTATGTATGTAACATAAAGGGTTGTGTAAGATGTGATAAAGGTTTTAAAAGTGGATTTTAGGTTGTACATATGTATAGATTTGCTCCATTGAAATTGCTTTAAAAATGTTACAGTCCTTTTGTTTTAATCTTTGGGGTATTTGTTTTGATGACAAATCATTCTCCTCTAAGTGAATTTTTCTAATAGCAAAAGTTACTTGGAATTAAGTTTAGTGAACTCACTAACATCCCATCGGTTGGGCCAGTGAGATACTTCATAATTCCAACACTTAAGAAGCTGAGGCAGGAGGATCTCTAGGTCAAGACTAGCCTATGCTAAATAGCAATACCCTGAATACCCTGTCTGTAAATAAATTAAATAAATAAATAAATAAATAAAAAGCCATAGTGACAGAAGTGCTGACATGTTCCAGCATAGTTCAGAGACTGATTTTGAGGTCGTTTCAGAGAAGACTGGTTTACTCAGAGATGAGCAGAAGTTTCATCATCCCTTAAAAAAGTACATGCTGCTATGATAGTCCTTCTCCATGAGACTTGTCTTCGTGAAGCTGCTCCTCTGTCCATGGCAGGGTCATTACTAAGCCATCATTGGTCTGTATTAGTTACAAGGCTTGCATATTGGGGAACTCACTCTGTGAACATACATCCTGCTGATGGTGTGAATTCAGGGGAGAAGGGCTTCCTTGGAACCTGGTTTCTTGTGACATCACTGTACTTTTACATTTCAGTTTGCTTCTACCAGTTCCCCTTTTGAACTTTCTCAGGAGTGTTTGAAGGGAGAGAATCGTGTCTCAGTCACTAGTTGTGAGTGTGTTTAAATATCAAAAGACTTCAGTGTATTTATTTGTAATGCCTTTCAAAAGATATAAATCAAAATTCAAACATCTGTAAATCAGAAATTACAGAACATACGGAATACATAAGTGCATGAGACTTTTCTGTATTTGATAATACCAAAAAAACTTAAAGAAAGTTGCTGGGATTTTTTTTTTTTTTAAGTTTCTGCCTCTTCATTTATAAAAGGATAATTTGGTATTTATTTTTCCAGGCTTTTTTATGATTATTAATTTATTCTTATTAATAACTCATAAAATAGATAGCTTTATACAGGCCCCTAAAATGTGTATAGCATTTCTCTTACCTCTGGCAACTAATCAAGGCCTCTAACGCTTACTGTAAAAGTGTAGCTGCACATGCTAGGGTGGGCCTGACGCGTGCTGTCTGCACAGAAGAAAAGCTCAAGGAGTCCCTTGAGCATTCTGTTCACTGTCACTAATCATATGTTTACCCCCGGGTTTCACTGGTCACTGCATTCAGTCTTGCCTTCTATCCTGTTGCCTTGTTATAATTTCATTGTAAAAATACGAACCCAGTGTAATTCTTGAGGGAACTCATGACTAGGGAAGTTAGTTTGAGATTCCATGGTTAATAGTCTAGTGCAGGCTGCATTCTGGAGTCCTCATTTCTGGAAGATTACAAGGGTCTTGCATAATACTGCACTGTGTACTCATCTAATGCAATTTCATATAATCCAGCCTAAATACATAGTGTAAGTGTTAAAAAGATAATCTGTGGAGGCAGGCTTTGACTCTGTTGTTCGCTACTTACTACCTGCTGACCTTGCCAAGTGATATAAAGGCCTCTGTGTTTCTTTTTCATATCTGCAGAAATAGCAGGCTTTATGCCCACAGTGTGGGCTTGTTTTGAAAGTTGAGCCATCACTTGGGAAGCATGGGAATGCTCTCCATAACTGTTAGTTGCTGATGATATCAACAGCAATATTTTTTTTTTGTCTTCTTTTTTTTTTGTTGTTGTTGTCCTGGGGCTTGAAATCAGGGCCTACACTTTGAGTCACTCCACAAGCCCATTTTTGTGATGGGTTTTCTCGAGATAGGGTCTTGAGAACTATTTGCCCAGGCTGGCTTTGAGCCTCCATCCTCCTGATCTCTGCCTCCTGAGTAGCTAGGATTACAGGCATGAGCCACTGGTGCCCAGCCCTTGCTTGTTGTGATACAGACATGTGTATGGACAAAAAAAAAAAAAATCTGACCACAGATAGAATAAAATTAAGCTGTGGTTGTTAGGACTAACTATAAACAGGAAGATACAGTATGGTATTATTCACCTCACTGTATTTGTAGGGCAGAGGTAGGAATGTTGGGAGTTTTTTTTTTTTTATCCTGATGTAAGATATGTAGAGAACTGTTTATACTTGTCTTGACATGCAGGTTAGTGTATTTCTCTGGAGTCTGAATTAAGATAATTGCTGTAACTAGCCATCTTCATGTTGGAAATGTGATTATTCGATGTGTCCTTCACCTTGGTGTCTCCGTGTTTGGCACTTGAGTGAAGGACTGCTCTCTTTTCTGATGAATACTTTTAATTGAACTTGGTTCATTTATGTGACACGATCTTCCTTTTAACCTTAATGCCCTCTCCGTTTTGCAAGTTGAAAATTATGGATTTAAGATATTTTATGAAACAGTGACACGCATATAAGAGGAAATGGAAAAGTTGTTTATAAATGAGAAAGTTGTTTATACATGGGATAGGCATAGTAAAGATACTTCCAGTCTAAATGGAATGGTGTAAACATCTTTAGTATTTACTCTTCAACATTTGGCCATGTTAGGAAGTCTGGGGATGAAGTGATAAATCATGGATTGCAGTGGCATTCATGCTGTTCCAAGGCCACATATGCTGACACACACATGTACACACATGTGCACACACATGCACACACTTGCCTGTGTTCACTTGACTTCTTTATTATTTAAAATATCTTAGGTTTCTCATCAAGACTCTTTCTCTCTCCCTCTTGTAGAAGGCCAGCAGTGAGGCCAGTCAGAGTGACACAAGTATCTCCTTATCAGAACAGAAGAGCAAGAGCAGTCTGCACTCATTGACCCATGAAACAAAAGTTGGATCTTTCTTAAGCAGTGCCACTTTAGACGTCAAAGACAAAGCTGGCCTTTGTCCAGATGAAGATGATATGGAAGGAGATTCTTTCTTTGATGATCCAATTCCTAAACCAGAAAAAACTTATGGTTGGTGAGTAGCCTGCTTCTGAGTTATCCCACTAGAAATTTAAAAAATAGAACTTCTAAATGTTTGCATTTCTGTTTAAAAATAATGATCTAATAGTGTTGTAATTATTGAATCCATAGTCCGATTTTGTGTCATTAAAGCTTGTTACATTGTAAAATCATTCCAGTTTTTTTTTTTTTTTTTTAAAAGAGAAATCAGGTATGTCTTACTTTACTGGGTAAGTCTGTACTGAGTGCCTGGATGTGACAGGAACCATTTTAAGGACAGGATGCAGCATTGATGGCAGAGGCAACTCCTGCCCTCAGGAAGTTCACCTTCTGATGGAGTCAGGCAGTCAGTAAGAGTCCCACCACAGTATGTCAGACGATGGGGAGCAGCAGCTTGTCAGAGAAGGCCTTACTTGAGGTGCTCACTCGGAGATGCCTTTCAGGCTGTGTGGAGAGCTACAGTAGGCAGGAGTAAGCCATACAGAGGAATAAACCACACAGAATTTGGGTTCACAGAGCTCTTGGGAGAGGAAAGAGTAAATGCAAAGATGTCCAGTAGGCCAGAAGACTGCAAAGAAGAGAGTGCGGTCATGGCAGAGAGAGTGAGAGGGCTTGTATGAATTGGAACCAAAGACAAGAGACTGAACTGACCATCAGAGTCTGACTTCCATCTGAGTGATGCCAGATATCCTGGGAATCTTGGTCCAGCATACAGTATGATATGACAGGCTCCTTATTTGTTGAGCAGGGTAGACCGAAGGTTTCCAGGTAGGAGACTGTTAGGATTATTCAGGGAAGAGATGATGGAGAAAATGATGAGAAATACGTGGGTTTTGGAAATATTTTAAGGATAGATCCAAAAGGGTTTGTTAAGTGGCAGAGAACCAAGTAAAATCTAGGGGACTTTGGTTATTTACTTGTAAATAACCAAAAGATTGAAGAGCCATTGGCTGAGATGAAAAGTGGAAAGAGCTGGGTCAGATGGCACAGATGGGTGGAGTGATGTGTTGCAATTGAGAAGATTATTGGTGGGCTGTGCAGTAGACTATTGGATCTGTGAGTCTGGGGGAGAAGGCAGTGGTCTTCACTGGATCTATCCATGAGGGAGTCATTAATTTGTAGGTAATGTTAAAGCCAGGAGACTGGAGGAGATCACCAAGAAAGTGGGCTCTGCAGCACCTTGAGGTCAGGGGGTGAGCAGGAAGCACAGAGGAGATGGAGAGAGAACTGGACACGGGGGTGTCCTTGTAGAGGAGGCAGGAGGGACAGCTGCATTACATCTGCTGAAAGTCAGCCACTGGAGTTAGCCACACAGAGGTCAGTGAAGACTTTGGCAGGCTGTTTTGCTGTAATGGAGTCGTGCCCATTAAAGGACTCTTGGACTCAAGAAGGAATGGCAGGAAAGGATTGTGAATGACAAATAATTTTTGATGAGTTGTAGAAGGGTGCACAGGATTGAGGTGGTGGCCAAAGGGGCAGGATATAGCTTAAGAAGCCTGGTAAAGTGGGAGAAATCGCAGCATGTGTGAATGAAGATTAGAGGATATACCTTTAAAGATGGGAGAATGAATGATGTAAGGGAACAAGGGGAGATTCCTGGAGTGCTGTCCAGTAGTGGGATCCAGTGCCCAGGGGAGTTGTTCTTGCTCAAAGAGTGGAGAGCATAAATCCCCATGTACACAGGGGTAATCTGATGTTCTTATTCACCTAAGTTACCAGCTAAGTGCAGACAGAGGAGGCGATGAAGAAGAACGTGAAACCTGTACAATGAAGTAAGGAGAGAATGAACTGTGGAAGTGTGGGGTTTCAGGGAAGTGGTAAACATGTTAGTGCTTACCCTCGAAGAGGATTGTGACTCTTGACATCTGAGGGGTAGTGCTTGTTTGCTAGCTGACTCCTGTACTGTTTCTTGGCTGAGTTTCTGGGTGATGGACAAGGGCTTCTGAAAGAAATTATGTGTACTGAAGGTGTTGAAGCCTGCAAGAAAGCAAGCAGTTCTAAAAAAGAAAAGGTGAGCTGAGTTGTTAACTGACAGACGTATGTATTTGTGACTGATCTGCAGGTATACTTTATGATTTTGAATCTTCGAAACCTGTGTTCTTTATTTCTAGCTACTATGTGCAATATAAAATATTTTTAAGTTGCTTTTACCATAATGGCAGAAGAAAAATGTTCAGTAGCAGAATTTGAGATTACCATTTAATAACTTGCTTACTTGCTGATAGGAGAAGTGAACCAAGGAAGCAGGTGGGAAGCCTGGCCTCGCTCTCTGATGCACCCCCCTTAAGGAGTGGGCTCAGCTCCCTGGCAGGAGCCCCTTCATTAAAAGACTCTGAGGGTAAGTGCTCCAGGTATTTTTTCTGATTAACTAGTGAATAATTGTTAATTTTTTTTTTCAGAAAATAATCTGAAGAGTGTGCCATAATTTTATCACTTGGATATTTCCTATTAATATTTTGTTGCATATATTTTTTTCATTTCTTTCAATGTAGTTAGTACAGTAAACCCTTGGGTACCCCTGGGTCTGTGGTTCCAAGGAGCCCACTATTGAGGAAAAATCACAAATGCTCAGGATGCAGAGAGTTCAGTGTTGTCCTGCAGATTCTTGATTCATTTTTCTTATAACACTGCTCAGCTTCTGCTGATGCTGCCTTTCAACAATCCAAAATTTTCGCTTGATCACTTATATGAGGGATGTTATGTGTCCTTTCTTTTCTTTTTTCTTTTTTGTGATACTGAGGCTTGAACTCAGGGCCTGCACCTTGAGCCACTCCACAAGTCCTTTTTTATGAAAGGTTTTTTTCGAGATAGGTTCTCGTGAACTATTTACCTGTCTGGCTTCGAACCACGATCCTCCTGATCCCTGCCTCCTGAGTAGGTAGGTTTACTGGTGTGAGCCCCCTGCTCCTGGCAATGTGCCCTTTTTGTCTTGGGAAGATTGCCATGACTTTCACCTTGCTTTTTTGGGCACTTTTTGCTTCTTGGGAGGCTTATTTTCACAAAATTGAGGGCAGGGAAACACTCAGCAGATCACACAATATAAACACAACCAACAGCACAGCTTCTGTGTATCAATTGAACTCTGTAATGCACATGCAGTAATTAAAATTTTTGTTTATGAAGTTTCTTTTGATTTTTAAAATTATTTTTTCTTGATTGCACTTGGTCAAAACCACACATAATAAACCTGTGAATAAGGCAGCAAGCTAACTTGGGATCCTTAGTAGCTGGTATTATAGGCATGTACCACCATGCCCAGCTTTCTCTGTTGTTTTGTACTGTCTTTGCTATGCTATCATAATACTTCTAGAAAACTGACTTTGTCTGGTCTTTGTTATCTATAGATGTGTTATGTGTATAATCCCTAGCTTGTGATGGTTTGACTTACGAGTTTTGAATTTTTATGCAAAAGTGACACATAATCAATAGAAACCGTACTTTAAATTTGGAGCTTTGATGTTCTCTCTGGGAGCAAGACGCACTGTATCTGTCTTCAGTCAGGCTGGACACAGTGGGAGCTGCAGCTCCTACTCCTGAGGGAAAGCAACCCATACTCTACAGTGCTCTGTGCTGCTGAGCCTTGGCGTTCAGTAGATTAGGCATATGAAATGCATTTTTTGATGTAAACTGAAGAACATCTGTAATTTTTAAACCATCTCTTGTTGAACATTTAAAACGACTGGAGTTGGATTTAAATTCAATTTAATTTTAAAAAATTTGTTCTCAGTTGCTGGGCACCAGGGGCTTAACCTGTATCCAAGATACTTGGGAGGCTGAGATTGGAAGGATTGTGGTTTGAGGCCAGGCCAGGCAAATAGGTCTCAAAACCCCATCTCTTAAATAACCAGAGCAAAATGAACTGGAGGTGTGGCTTAAGCAGTAGAGTGTTTGCTTTGCAAGTGCAAAGTTCTGGTTTAAACCCCAGTCCCATCAAGTAAAAGGAAAGAAAAAATTGATTTGAAGTTGGGGTGGTGACACGGGTGACCCATAACCCCAGGTGCTTGGGAAGTAGAGGTAGGAGGATCTTGAGTTTGTTTGAGTTGTGAGTTTGAGGCCAGCCTGGGGTACATAGTGAGACCCTGTCTCAAAAAAGTTGTTTTTTGATACCAGAGTAATGTTAGCTAAAACTTTGATGTAGCATGCCTTTTTATGTGTAGAAGAGATAGATCGGTAGCAAGACATAAAATAGCTTACTATGTCATCTATCTTCCCTTCCCTCCCCTCACACGACAGTACCAGGAATTTAAAACGCATATCCTTAAATGTGTAGCTATACAGTGGACTCTTTATGTCATATCACAGTCAGTATGGCATTTAACTGGACATGCCTAGAGCACCAGTGTGCCTCTTCTGAGTTTCCTGATGTAGATTGGTAAAGAATTTGCATAATTTTGGGGGTACTTCTAATCTTTTCATCTTGTGTGATATAACTGGGACTTCTAGAGCACACAGGAGATGGTCTGTTTCTCTACTATACTAAAAAGTATAGTGAGCCAGCCATGCATCTGTTAGGATGGTCATGTCCTGCCTCTCCATAGTTATGGCCATCCTTGAGGAAGGAACCTAGGATACCGCGATTGTCACTGTAACACAATATCTGAGAAAAATCAACTAAGGAAGGAAAGGTTTACTTAGTTCAAGGTTTCAGTCTGGTCATCTGGCTCCATTACTAGGAACCAATGGTGAGGCAGAGCATCGTGGTAGAGGAGAGCGTGGCAGAACAAAACAGCAGAGAGTGACAGGAAGGGGTCAGGGACAAGGTGCACCCTGAAAGGGCACACTGCTAGTGACCTGCTTCCTCCCACCAGCCAGTATCTCCGAATAACACATTCAGTATGAACTCCTGAACAAATTAACCCATTGAGGAAGTTAGGACCTCGTGATGTGGTTACCTCACTAGCACCGCCAGCTGCGGTCCAGGCCTTCAACATGTGAACCTTTTGTCGGGGACACATCCTATCTGAGCTGTAGCATGACCATCAAGTCACTGGCACTGCTGAGAGAAGGATGATTCAGGGGCGACACTGGGAACTGAGGACTGAAGAACAAAACCAGTGAGAAGGTCAGTGGGGTAAATGAAATACTGGTTTAGGCTAAGGGAATTTAACAGTGCAAAGGAGAAATTGAGGAAAATAATTAAGTATAGTCCATGAGTCTTACCTGTTGGCCACTTACTATGGTTGTGTTCTAATAAAGTATTGTCTATGATTTAAAAAGGGTTGTAGTGCATGACTGAAACATGTGTTCATAAAGCTTGTAATTGTTTTTAAGTTTTAGGTTATTACAAAGAAGCCCCAAACTGGAAAATAACTTAATGTGACTGAGAGACCATTTTACTGTAGGAGTTTCTTTGATGCTGACACTTTTTTCCTCTTTACAGGTAAAAGGGGAAGTATGGTTTTGAAAGATCTGAAATTGATCAGTGATAAAATTGGATCACTTGGATTAGGTAAACAGATTTCCACTTTCAGTGTGGATTGCTTTAAAATGATTATCTTTTAGGATAAAATCTTAAATGAGATGACACCATGAGCCTACATCGAACTGTTCATTTGATGGGTGTTTGGGGAGTTGGCATGTGTTCAGGGTTGCACTCTTTGAAAGGATGGCTGTAGCCACAGCCAGGACAGTTCTCTGTCTTGTGGAGTTCAGGCTGTGGTAGGGGAGAAGGTGTTAACAGGAACCTACAAATATTTTGTGGGTTAGAGGGCCAGTGTTGGTATGATGATGGACCATGGTCTGTGTCTTCTAGCCAAGGCATTCAGGGAAGTCCTCAAGGAGAGGCTAGGCCAAGACTTAGTGGCCAAATAGGAGATATTGTAAAGGAGAAGGGAAAAGGTCTCAGTTCAGACTGTGCAAAGTTGGTACAGAAGCAGAGCCATTCTGTGGGTGCTGGGAGTACACGGTCCTGGCTTCAGGAGCTCGGTCTAATAGAGGAGAGATGTGCGATGTCATGTAGGTGTACAGAGCAAATGTTGGCAGCTGGCCCTGTAAGTGAGCATCTCCTCTGGAAGTAAGTGTGAATGTAACTGAGTTCTCGGCCACTAGTTGAGAACATAGTTTGCATAGGTTTCCGCTCAGTGCATACCACAGGCAGGTATGACAGGAGAATCTTTGAGTGACCCTTATTCTCCATCACTGACTTGAAAGAAAATGGTACAGCCAGGCCCTCTGTGGCCATCTCCTGTCCTGTCTGGTTGTGATGCAGTGTTAGGTTCCCCTGGGCTGTGAGTATTCACATGTGGGATTGTTAAAGAGCTGAGCTCCCCAGGCAAGCTGGGGAGAAAGGATGTCCCATGTGCTGTTGGCTGTTAAAACTGGGCATGTCTGAGGGGGAAGCTAGAGAACGCCCCTTCCTCTTCTGAAAAAAAACCTGGGTAGGTAGTACAAAGGACTTGGGTTTAGAGTTGACAGAGCTATATGCATATCCCAGGTGTGGCCTGATTTGGGGGGTGTTGGGGGTTTAAACGAAACTTCTCTTTCTCAGCTGTTAAGTAGAACTAATAGCATCGTCTTCACTTTAGAGACATAGGCTTTAAGTATGTACACAAACAGGAGTAAAAGTGCAGTGCCTGGCACAGCAGGCACCACACAGACCAGCTTCCTTTTTGTGTTACTTTCTTCCCCGTTTGCAGCTACTTGCTGAAGAATAGATGTTCCCTGAGCTGCCCAGATTCTTGTTCCACACAGTGCCCTGGAGTCCTGGTAACTGCTGAGTTGCTGGTCATGCTACTCTCTCTGCGCATCCCGTTGCTGGCTGGCCAGCTAGGTGGGCCCACTGCCCTTCTTCACTGGTTGCTCCTCTGAGGTGCGAGTGAATGTGCAGGGGACATTCTTTCCTGCTGTATCTCTGGATGTCTGCCACCCAGAGCCTTCCGAACTGTGACACCTTGACAGCTGCTCTGTCCCCTTCCTTCTGGTTCTTTGTGTTTTACTTTGTGATGTTTCTTCCTGTTGCCAGTCTTTCGACTTTGCTGTCTGACTGCTGTTCTCTGTCCAAGTGATGGTTACCCCCTCTGCTGTTAGGGTGGGACTGTGGAGAATTCTCGTCCTTGGTGAGGAGGGGTTCCTCTGACTACAGAGCTGCTTGGCAGAGTAGAATGGTGGTAGGCTTCCCATTTCACCTCACCCTCTGTTTAGCTTGGGCACACTTTGAGCTGGAATTTGGGTAGTTACATAGGCCACGCTTACTAGTTCACTAGCCAGATGTTTGCTGTTGAGTTAACATACGGATTCAATAGAAGTAAACATTGTTATTTACTTTGTTTAATGGCATTGCAGCAATGTTGTTTAGTGTTTGAGCTTCTTTCCATTGTAAGTACACGTAGCAGTATTCTAGATATTTTAAGCAATACATAGATGCTAGTAGTTTTGTCCAGGGTGATAGTGATGTTAGTGATATGTGCCTGGCACTGCATGAAGAAATTACTTTTCTACCCCAGGAGGTAGGTTGGTCATGCCTGTCTTTATAGAAGCAGAACTAGTAAGAACTCTGTAAATTAGTGACTTACAGAGGGTCATAGGCTTTAAGAATCTTGATATGTCATAGAGACCTTAACCACGGTGTAGTACCTCCTAGACAGTACTTAAAATACCATTTTGTGAGTTTCATAGAAATAGTTTACAAGTTAAGTTTTACAGTCCAAGCTATTTAGTTTGATCGTCAAGTACAAAAGGTATGGAAATGAAATGTAAGTCAGGCACGTTGCATGGTTAAAGCAAAAGTTATCTGAAAAGCAATAGACATTTTATTTTAAAAAGTAGATATTTTAGACTTTGTGGGCCATGTATGGTCTCTGTCACATGTTCCTTGTTTTTTTAATATTCCTTTAAAAATACCAGAGCCATTCTTTGTTCATTGGCTGAGCAAAAGCAGGATATTGGTCAGAGGTAAGAAGCAAAAGCTGTTGGAGCAGCCCAGGTGGGTTGAGGCCGGCATCTTACAGATGGAGCAGACAGATGGCATGGGATGGGTGGAGACTTTAAAGGAATGTAATCATATAGATTCTGTTCATGACACTCATTTTGATTCTGACGTGTGAAGTTCCCAGGATGTGTAAAGTGCATAAGCAGGAAGTCAGAATCCAGTGCTTTGTAGCACATTATTCAGCACGGGCTATTGACCCCATGTGTTCAGTTGGCTACAAGTGTGGCAAGCAGGGAATTGAGGAAGCTCACTCCATATCCACACTGCAACCACAACTGTCCCCGCTGTCCTGGCTCAGTTTCCTGTTCACACCTAGCGACTCAGTGATTAGTTCTTGGAGGCTCTCAGGCTCTTATTAGCTACCACTGCTGTTTGTTGATTGCACTTGTAAGCCAGCCACCGATGTGGTTCGCTCATTACTTGCTGTTCAGTACTTCAGCTCCTAAGCTTTTGAGGCTCCAAGTAGAGATGGGCTGTTTTTTCTAGAGGCGCAATCTGGAAACTTGTCACCCTCCCTGTACTCCGTGGCTTCTGGTCAGGGACTCTTGATTCATTGTTCCGCAGTGTGAATGCAGCACTAGCCGTGGTTCTTGTTTTCTGAAAATCGTTCCTTCTCATTCCATGCCATCTGACTGTCTTACCTGTAGGACTCCTGCCTTCACTGGAGTCTTCAACCCGGTCTCCCCACAACAACCTTTTGTAATCTTTACTTTCATTCTTTTTTTTTTTTTTTTTTTTTGGTGGTACTGGGGTCTGAACTCATTGCCTAATGCTTGCTAGGTAGATGCTCTACCACTTGAGCCACTCTGCCAGCCTCTTACTTTCATTCATAATTCCCCTAAGCACATTTCGTCTCACAGTGCCCAGTGTCCATGGGAAAGCATCTCTTGGGTATCACTGCCCTGTGCTTTCACACCCACTACTCCTGTTAATTTCCCTTTGCTTTAGACTGAAATCTGACTAGGGCTCTCCAGACCCTATACACTCTGGCCTCTCACAGTTCTGTCTGCCCCGCAGCCTGGCTCCTTGCTTGTGGTGTTTTAGATGCCACAGCTTTCCCATCTAGAGCCTTTGCACCTATTCCCTCCTCTTAGAACTCATTCTCTCCCAGTACCTGCACCTCTGCTGCCTTCAGGGTTCAGGTCAGTTGCTACCTCAGAGTTCTTACCGCCTGGCCTGCTCTGAAGGCATTGGGTTTGTTCCACTGTTTGTTTTCTCTTTCTTCTTGTAGAGTATTGGCTTCTGTATCTGTAGGGGACAGAGGAGTCATTTGCATATTTGATAATTGAATAACCTTTAGTTATCCTGTGTGGCTGCCCGTCCAGCACTCAGATCCTCTCAAAAGTCTGGTCTCGGGCTTTGGAGGACCCAGGAAGGTGCCAGCAGCATCTGTGAACTGCTTGCTCTCCAACGAGTTTCTTTGTGCTCTGCATCTTCCCTCTGCCCTCCATCACCATTCATTCACATCCACCTGTCTCCTCACCTGGTCCTTAGACGATGTGGGGGGAGTGTAACTTTGTCTTAACAGCCTTAGGTAAGTCCTGGGGTGCTTACCTGTAGGAGCCTTGACATGTAGCACTGTTTGTGTCTCCTTCAGGCAGTTGGTCTGCTTTTGTTCAGAGCTCTGGGTTAAGCACTTTGCATATGCGATAAAGCTTATGTAAACTCTGTGATTGGTGTGGGTTTGGCTGTATTTAACATGGCTATGAAAGGGCCCCAAAGGCCCTCTGAGTTCTGGGCTGTTGGGTGGGGCCCAGTCTGAAGCTAGTTCTGTTGACTGCAGCTGCACTGATTTGCCTTGTGATCGTTGTTAAGTTTTCTAACTGTTAAGTGGGAACATCTCTGCAGTTCCCAACAAGGTAACCAGGGGAGTTGATGGTGCCTTGCTGGTGCTACACTCCATCAACTCAAAGGGCAGCATGGTGGTGAGCCTGCCTGGGCCTCCTTCTTTGAGAGCCTGGATGAAAGAAGGGGTTAAGCACGCTAGGATGTGGTGCAGTCACTTAGAGCAGCTGCCATTTGCCTTCGTGTTAAATGGTAAAAATACTGCTTCTGAATAGTCTTCAGAACTTGTCTTTAGTGAGGAGATATCATTTAGCACAGTAACATACTATTTGGGCAGGGAATATGTTTAGTTTGTAGATAAATTATGAAGCATTTTCACGTGAACGTGTTAACATTTCTTTTCTTAAACTTACCAGGAAATGGAGAAGAAGATGACTATATTGATGATTTTAATAGGTAAGAAAAACAGTATGTATATTTGTAAATAATTTCTGAATACAGATGAGTGTGACAGAATTACATTAGGACTTATTTTAGCGTATCTTATTCTTTGTTGTGTTGATTAAAGGTGAATGAAAGATAGTTGATCCAAAATTATTTATTTTGGAGCATGTTCTTCCTTTTATATTAGACTTATACATCTATAATATGTTGAGGGAATTGGTAATAATAAGAAATAACACTGAGAGCCAGGCAAGGTGGTGCACAGTTATAGTCCTAGCTATTTGGGAAATGTGGGCAGGAGGATTAGGAGTTGAGAGCAGAGTTAGTGAGGCCCGATCTTAAAACAAAAGACAGACAAAGGGCTGGGAATGTGGACTGAATAACAAGGCCCTGAATTCAGTTATCCCCAGTACTGGAAAAAGAAGGAGTGGGGAGGCAGAAATAGCATTGAGGAGTCAACTGAGAAGTCGTTAGGAGAGAGGCAGCTGTCACAGTGGACTGGCTCTTTTGCTCCTCCTTTCCTCTCTCTTCATTGTGGGAATTTGTAGTCAGCATAAGAAAATTGCCCCTGTAATTATTTTTCTGATCCAGACAACATTTCATATTTTTGTGTCAGGTGGTTATACATGAAGATAACTTATGGATTACCTAATAATATGGAAATAATATTGTTGTGGATCTAAGTAGAAATCTTAAATCAACTATCTAGAATTTCATTTGACTTTTTTCCATGTAGAAATTTGTACTTATTTTTAGCAGAATAATTTCCTCATAAGAGTTTTTTTTTTTTTTTTGAGATCATGTGATGTAGTTGAAATTTTAGAAATCTGGGTTTGTTTCCTGCCCTTGTGTGCAAAGTCACCATTGAACCTTAGGTTTTGCATCTGCTCATTTGACGTGATTGGAGCTACTGCCCTTGATATTTTAAGGGCCACATGAGATGGTGGATATAAACTTGATGATATTTAATGTTATACTTCACCTAAAAGATTAGAACAAATATCTGAAAATTTGAAGAATAGTAGTTACTCTTTTCAGAGTTTTTTTTTTTTTCTTTTCTCTTTTCCCTTCTTGCAATAGTGCCAGCCATCGCTCAGAACAAAGTGAGCTAAGTATTGGTGAACAGATTGAAGAAGACCTTTCCACAGGAGTAGATGACATCAACACCAGTGATAAAGTATGGGGTTATGTGTTTCCCATTCATGGCTGTCTTTGCCTATTTGTTGATTTACCTTGAGGTTTCAGAAATTACTTAGTAGGAAAACAGTTGAAAATTGTGAAAGGGTCATGCTAGAGTTAACCTACTCTGTGTCTGTGAAGAGTTTTCAATGAATATGTAAGCTGTTTTTAGTTGTCACTCTCGTTGGTACCTGTGTGTTTCTGACTGACTGAGTTGCTTCTGGGTCACTAGGCTTACTGTGGGGTAAGGAAGGCCATAGTGGTTCACCACATCCATGTTGCAGGTTATGGTCATCTCAGGTCCAGCTGTAATACCTGAATAGGTAAGGCAGGACCAGTCTATAGCCGCAGGAGGTAGGGTGGCAAAGGGAACTGGTGTTCATTGAGGTTTGCCATCATGAGTCCATATATGAGGTGTCCACATCTGAGCTTTTCGTGCAGCAGAGAAGAGAGTACACTTGTCCATATGGAGCAGCTGTGCACAGCTCAAGTGGATCTGCCTTTCATGTCATGGGGGTCTGATCCAGGAACACAAGGTGGACTTCACAAGTGCTGGGCTGCTGCATGGGGAGAAGGCCTATGAGCGAGGTCACACTGAACAGAGAAACAACACAGTCGGAGGCAGCAAAATTTGGTGTGCCCTCCCTCTTTAATGTACTGCATTTTCTTAGGAAGGCTTTAACCTTTCACACTAGGTTCTTTACTTGTTAGGTGGAAATATTAATACCTGCCTAATAGGATTGTTTTGGAGATTAAATGATAATATGTAAAACTCCTCTGATTCCTTACACATTATAAACTTAAATTATCTGTCCTTTCCTTTTTCACCCTTTGTCATCCACAAGAGGCCTAAACATGATTTAAAGTTAAATGAAAGAAAGGGGATTTTCAGTCATTTTCCTTGCTGGAGTTAATGATGAGGTCAGCTGTTAACTCAGCCACTTGGTACTGTCACAGAGTTCAAAGCAGGGCCAGGAGCCTGCCATATGTCGAGTCCAGTGTTGAGCCATGGTTGGAGAACTCTAGCAGGTAGAAAAGGAGATGTGGCCGTCATGCTGCCACTGGGGACCATGTGCTACTCAGGTGGTTTCTTTCTGTTCTTCATGGGGTCATCCCCACCCTGCCCCACCCCACCCGGGGTGTGGTACATCTAGTGCACTCTAGGAATTTTCTGGTGCAGGCTTAGCTTTATATAGTCATGCTGTTAACAGCTTTGTACAGGAATGGACTTGCGTTGGTCATTGTACTTCATCAGCTGACATTTTTAAGGATTTCTCTACAGAGAATGCAGAAGTGTTTGCATTCTTTGCCATAGTAGAGCTTTTACCCAAGGTGACCAAAACTGATATTTGTTGTGCTATTTAGAAAGTGTGGCGCTTGGGATGTGGGCCTTGTGGAAGGAGATAGTACTAAATAAGTCCAACCGATCTGGGTTTGAGTCCTGGGGCTGCTATTTACCACTCGAAAATTGTGGCCTTAGCTTCTCATATTTATTTCACAAGGGGGTGATTGTTGTAAAAATTAGTGATGAGAATAGAGCAAATAGATTAGTATTTAGAACAGACATTCACAAAATGGTAGCTAGGACTGTTAGTTCTGTTACGGTCTTAAGTGAGGTATAGGGTCTTTCCTCAAGTTTTTATACAGGCTGGGTCATTTACATACAAGTGCACATTTAAATAGAAAGTGATGTGTCCCCTAAAAGGCCTGTCACTTGTGGACTATGGAATGCTTATTATTTGAGCTGGACTTTGAAAGATGATGACTGATCTGATAGTGTGTTGGGTGGGGGTGTTGGGAGGATCGGGGAGGGTGCTGTGACTCCAGGGCTCCACTGGAGGCTCCCTGTGACGAGGCAGACACAGGGATGGGTGGGGCAGGCTCTTAGACAATGGCTTTGGAGCAGAAGTCACAGGGAAAGGAGCAGGAGCAGGGGCCCAGCAAGAGAAAAGGAACAGGCCCTGTCCTCGGAAGCGCACACAGAGTGCACAGCAGCCTCATTGAGTGAGCATGCCAACAGTGACACTGAACGCTCTCAGAGTCTTGTTCTTCACTGTTGATAGATAGCAAGCTATCATGGAGAGCCAGTACTTTTTTCAGGGCTAAAAATATGTTTATTTTTATTTTGTGACATGAAAAATCTGTTTTGTGGCTTTGAACTGAGATGGCTGCATTGAGTTCTAATTCTAAAATTAATGAAGGATGTAATTGCCTTTATGCACACAAAAACAGTTTAAAAAAAAATAACCCATGTGATGTCTTGAGAATCCTTTTTATTTTTTTTTCCATCACTGGGGTTTGAATTGAGAGACTCACGCTTGATAGGCAGGCTCTCTACCACTTGAGCCACTCCACCAGCCCATGTGAGACCTGTATACGTTACGTAATATTTAAATCAGATTAAACATATCTCTTTCTTTCTTTATGATGAAAACATTCAGAATTCTTTCTTGTAGCTTTTGAAATGTACAGTAGACTATCATTATATTGACCGTACTGTACAAATAGCTCACCAGAACTTATAACTTAGTCCACACTGATCACCCCCTCTCCACATCTCCCTCTCCACTCTTCTCCCTAGCCTCTGGTCACCACCATTCTACTCTCAATTTCCATTAGATCAGCTTTGTTATATTTCACACATGAGTGAGATCGTGCAATGTTTGTCTTTCTGTGCCTGACTTATTTCACTTCACATATATGATCTCCATTTCCATCCATACGGTCACAAATAACAGGATTCCATTCTTTTTTATGGACACATAGTTTTCCATTGTACTCTTTTATGCCTTCGTCAGTCGACGGACGCTTAGTTGTTGGCTGTGGTGAGTAGTGCTACAGTGAACATGGGAGTGGAGACGTCTCTTCACCATATTGACTCCATTTCTTTTGGATATTTCCTCTGGAATGGTGTTCTGTTTTTTCTGATGGCTATGCTAATTCACACTTCCGCCAGCACTGTTGAGGGTCCCTTTTCTTCACACCCTTGTCAGCACCTGCTGTCTTGTCTTTTTGATAACGCCCTTGTTCCTGGGTGAGGTGATATCTCACTGTGGTTTTGGTTCTCGTTTCCTTGATGATAAGTGATATTGAACACTTTTTCATCCACCTGCAGCCCATTTGTATTTTTAAAGAAATGTCTGTTTAGTACTGTTGCCTCTTTTTGAATCCGGGGTTTTTGGTTTTTGGGTTTTTTTTTGGTGGAGGGCTATTGAGTTTTTTGAGTTCCGTAACAATCTTTGTCAGATGCAAGCATTCTGTGGGTTGTGGCTTCACTCAGTTGATTATTTCCTTTGCTGTGCAGAAGCCGTGGAGTTTGATGTAATCCCACTTGTCTGTTTTTTTCTTTTGTTTACTGAGCTTTTGTAGGCTTGTCCAAAACAATCCTTGCTGAATCCACTGGCCCCCGAGTACTCTGTGTTTTCTTCTAGTAGCTTTAGTTCTTACATATAAGCCTTTGATCCATTTTGTGCTGATTTTTTTTGTAATGTTGGGAAAGATGGAGGTCTGTTTTTCTGCATATGGATACCCAATTTTTCCAGCACCTTTATTAAAAAAATGCAGATAGGGCATTTGATAAAATTGACTAACCCTTCATAATAAACACTGAATAAATTAGACATAGAAGGAGTCTATTTAAACAAAATAAAGGCCATGTATAATAAGCCAGCAGCTAACATACCGACTGAGGAGGAGTTGAAAGTCTTCTCTGTGTGATGTGAAGTAAGACAAGGATGCCACACTCACCTCTGTCTTCAGCACAGGGCTAGAAATCGTAGTCGGGGCAATCAGGCAAGTGAAAGAAATAAAGGGCTTCCCAGTTAGAAAGCTTGAAGCCGAATTGTCACTGTTCTCAGATGACTTGATCTTACATGTTATAAAACCCCCAAAATTCTGTCAAAAGCCAGGCATCAGTGGCTCATGCCTATTATCTTAGCTACTCGAGAGACAGGGAACAGGAGGATCATAGTTCAAAGCCAACCTAGGCAAAAAGTTCATGAGACCTTATCTCGAAAACACCAAACATAGAACAGGACTGGCAGAGAGGCTGTTAGAACTAATAACTGAGCTGAGCAAAGTTGCTGGATACAAAGTCAGCACACAAAAATCAGTAATGTTGCCTTACGCCAGTAGTGAGTCATGTGAGGTAGAACCCAAGAAAGCAATCCCATTTGCCTCAGATCAAAGCTAAATGTAAAACCTCAGATAACTGAATCACCTAGATGAAGAAGGATGGCTTTCTGTCCACAGTTTTTCCTATATTCGCCTTTGTCTGTTGTTTAGAATTACTGTTTTGCAAATGTAATAGAACACCTTAATGATTTCTTTCTTTAAGAGTGATAGGAGGAGAAAATACAGCTTCAAGTTATCAGAATCTATTTTAGACTCTACAGAATTTTTTGGCCTTTCAGTTTTTGTGTAAACTGGAGTTTGGATTAAAAACATAAGAACTTTAAGGTTCCTAGTCAGTTTCTTTGTGACAGATGGTTTACACCAAGACTTCTTTTGGACCAATGGGAAGGGAAGGGGCTTTATTTATTTAAAAGGATTTTACTCCTAACCTTACATTTTTCTACCCAAAGAATAACAAAATGAGATACCAAGGGGACAGATGAGTAAGAGACCGAAGCTCACAAAATATTTAGACAGAAGGAGTCTTGTTATTCTCACAAAGTGTCCCTGCTCCTATGTAGTGTTTAGTCCAGGGTTGACACACTTCTTCCCTGAAAGGCCACATAGTAAATACGTTGGGTGTTTTGTTGTAGCTGCTCCACTTTGCTGTTGTATTGAGAAAACTGCCACAGATGACACGTGTGAGTGGGGGTGGCTGTGTCCCTTTGTCCAGATTTGACTGGCAACTGGTTGATAAAGATGGGTGTAGATAAAGTTGAGAAGGTTGGCTCTGTCCTTCCTCAGCCATCAGAGGGACTGCATTCTGTATTTTCTGTGTTCTGGACCCTGTCTTGACCCTTGGTTTCCTCTTCAGAGATACTTTCTTGGCCTCCATTATGCTTATATATGTATTTCCTTTTCTGTCTTTAGCTTAAGCATGGAAATGAGTGTGTATGTTTTGGCTAGTAGAGGTTAACTGTCTAGTTCATGTGTAGTTTAAACAGAAATCGTGATGACTCATGGCTGCAACACCAGTGGTCTTGAGGCTGAGGCTCTGTGGGCCATCTTGTGTGCCCATCTGCTCTCCAGCAGTCTCCTGTGGCTTCAGCTGACATGATGTTAGGGACTGTCCTGCTGTGCCTTAAGTGTAATGTTACAAACGTAACTTGCATGCCATCATACAAAGTTAAACCATAGGAGACAAAAGGTTTTAAATGACAATATTGCACATTTCGTGCATAACAAGGTCACACGTTGGACTGTACCCAAGGAGGAAGTCTTATGGTTTGTTATGAGTATGTTTCTTAGATTAAATTGGAATAATGTGTAGAAGTTTTTTTGTGTAGTTTTACACTTTGACTTGAAATGTGTGAGAATCTAGTCAGTACAAAGCACTGAGTTCACAAGGCTGTACCCGTCTGTTAGCTGTGAGGTTCCCAGCAAACCACTGCCAAGCACCTGAGATTTCCCACTTGTTTTATGAGTTTTAATGTGAAGCCGGTTGTAGAGTATAAAGTATTTAAATGATAGTTTTATACTTTTTAAGTTAATTCAGACTCTGCTTGTGTTCTGACATTAAATCTTTTCTTTCTTTTGAACAACAAAGCTCGATGACCTCACACAAGACCTGACTGCCTCCCAGCTCAGTGACATTGCAGACTACCTGGAAGATGTGGCGTAGACACGAAGAAGGAAGTATTCTGATTGACAGAGACAGGACTGATCAGCTCCATTTTTTTTTTTTTTTTTTTTCAGACAATCACTTTTTGCTGGAATGTCTACTCCCTGTTGGTGCCTTCCATTTCAAAAAAGACTGCACATATTTTTAAAAATTAACTTCATTTTACTAAACAAAATACTTCCTATATGAGCCCATGTGTGGAAGATTTAATATTCTTAATTTGGTTTAGCTTGACATTTCTCTATGAAAATTGAGAACACTCAAGTTCATTACAGGGAGGGAACTTCTGTGTTAAGAGAATAAAGAGAGGTGTCAGTAGAGTCATAGGTTCACATGACTCTTCCTGTGTGGCTGCTGGTGCAGAGATCTTTGAAAACCTGACCTTTAGCCATCCGAAACCAGATGTGTTTACATCTGGTTAACTTACGCCCTTAGTGTGTTCTAAGATATTAGGTGAAATGACCTGGTAAACTCATGATGCTGAAGTATATTAATGTAAGTTATGCTTGATGTGTCAGCTTGATTTTGTATTTCCTTCCTTTTGGAAGGTTTGTTAGACCATTAAGGTTATATTAAAGTATTCTTGTGTGTGCTATTTAGTTTTGCTTATTTTGAAGAAATCTAGAAGTGGTTATGACTTAACTCATAGAGTTGTCAATGTCAGTTAACACTTATGGTCCCCATTCCTCCTGTTGTCTGTATAAGCAGCTTTTGTCCCAGGTTCTCTTCATTACAGTTATTATTTGTAAAGATGCCTTGAAATATATTAAAACCAAAATGCATCTGACACCATTAAGCATTGCTTTTATTTCAGATCTGTAAGTTGATTATGTTCTAATCCAAATTGGAACAAAATAGTAGTAATGGCCTAAGACCACATAGATTCAGTTTAACAAGCTTTACTGTATGTAATTTCTTTGTACAGGCTCCTTAGAGCCTGTAATAGAATTTCCACCAGACTCAGACCATGTTCCTTGTGCTGCTGTAATATTAGTAATGCAAAAGTATTTAAGAATGTACAAATAGAAAAACAAAAGTGACGTGTGCATATTCACGTAAGTATGAGTAAAGCTAGGATTGCATGGAGTTTTTGTACTTTTTTATCTCAATTATGGCTGTTAAAAGTTATCTTTGTTAATAAAAGAGCAAAATAGACATACTTTGTTGAGACCAGTTAGTGAACAGGCTGCTTCTCACTTATGCCAGTTTTCCATTTCACATTAGCTTAAGTGTTACGGAGTATTTATCAGGCTCTAAAATGTGGAGGAAATGAAGCTGTAGTAAAGATTAAGGCTCTCTGACATTAGAACCTGGCTTTTTAAAATTTAAGTGAAACTGAACTATAAACTCAGACAGGAGGTAGGGCAGAAAGTGGACTGGGTGGCCTACAAGCACGTGCTGCTTCTGCCCTGGGATTGTGGCCCCTGTTGCAGTCAGCTTTCACTGTGAAGCGCGATCTGTGCTGTTGTCTCTGCAAGCACTTTGTAAGCACTGTAGTCCTGTCTGGGCCCTCTTGAGTCTGGGTCAAATGTGTGGTTTATTTTAATACTAGGTAGAAGCGCATTTCAGTGAAGTGATTTGAGAGCATAGCAGGATGTGGCTTTTGTGTTTGTGGAAAACTTTCCAACAGTAGGGTCTAAAATTTGTTATTTTTTGTTACCCAGGGACTCTGACCTTTTGGTAATATTTGGGAGGGTGGGGAGAGAAATGCCAAGTTTACAGCTTTATAATTAGTACTGCATGTGTGTTATCAAATAACTTAGTTTAAAATTCGACTGTGAATATGCTGTTTCCACATGCAACCCTCCCTAGATGCTGTTAACCTCTCACACCTTAAAGTATAAAGTGACGGGTTTTGTATGATTAGTGTTTGCTTTTTGTTAAAAATTTTAGCTCATGAAGTACATTTTATGATTGCCTGTTTTATAGTAGGGTTACCCCCCCCCATTTTTATTAGGATATTTTCGTTGTACTGGGGGAATTTATTGTGACAGTTCTCGTAGAGCTTTTAAAAAATGCTAGACTTTTAATTTTATTGATGAGAATTATAAATGAATAAAAGCACTTATTCTTCCTTTATTTTCTCTTGAACCTGTTACCTGTTATGATGTGTAACAGCAGCAGTGGCCCAGGTTTCTGCCAAACTCCAGCCAGCTCTCTGCCATCGTCACCATCTGCTCTCTGCCTGGGACCTGAGCGGCACAGGCCAGGTGGCCTCCCCAGCCCTGCACAAGGCTGGTTTGTTTTGCTCTCATTTTCAGAGAAGCTTCCAGACAGAGGGAGATAGCCTCCCCCTTTCTGTTCAGTTTACCTTTGTGTTTTGTTCATCTCTTACTATACGCTGGAGTGGTCTTGCTAATTTATTTCCTTGTTTGCTGCCTATAAGTTCCATGAGAGCAGGGAATTTTTTTTTTTTAATATCACAAATAAAACAGCATTTGGCCATAGTGTGCTTAGTAAATATGGATTGCAGCAGAGCTTTTTAAGCACTGGCAGAGAGCAGAGATGCTGGGCAGCTGCCTTCCAAGGACAGTATTACACAGGGTTTTTGGTGGGGGGGCAGCTGTGCCCCTATGCTGGACCTATAGAGGCCCCCAGCTTCAGGTCTGCAGACAGGGTGGCAGGAGTGGGTCTGATTTGGCAGACATTCAGTCGGAGAGTTCCTCCTCTGGCTGAAGCCTAGGGGAAGTGTTGCCCTTTCAAGGAAGGTGCCCTCTGCATGGCCTTCGTGCTGAGGTTGGCACCAGAGAGAAGCAGAGCGGTCCTGGGTCCACTGGACCACCCTACAGATGTGGGAGGAAGATGGGAGAGGAGAAGCAACAGCAGAAAGGTGTCCCCAGGCCCTCAGCATTGGGGTCTCTGCCTGTGCATACCGATCCCACCCTGCCAGGCCCCCTCCCCTGTTCTAGGAAGAGCATCTGTTGGGAGGCAAAAGTGCAGAGGCAATTTTAGCCCGAATAGACAAACCTAATTCTAGTTAAAGATAACTTTTTTGATACCTGAAAGGCTCTTATGAAAGAGATATGGTGAGATGTGTTTTGCTTTTGTTTTTAATTTTAGGTGGGGTCTCACTGTGTTGCCCAGGCTGGCTTTGAACTCCTGAGCTCAAGGGATCATCCTGCCACAGACTCCCGAATAGCTGGGACTAAAGGTGTGAAGGTGCACTATGCCTGGCTCTCAAAATGACTTTTGATTAAACAATTGTTGGACTAAGACTGAATGGTGGGATAACCAAGTTCAGTAACCTTAAAGACAAATTCAAAGAATTCGCTATAGATTTAGCAAAAAGGCCAAGGTGAGGCAAGAACAGCTGGGAAATTTGACCAGAGCCTTCCAGTGGCCAGCAAGTCAACACTGAGATAGCAACTAGTGAAACCATCACTGGGAAGAAACTGGAAGGGCCTGGGTGGGTGTTAGAGGTGACAGCAGCAACTGCAGAGCAGCACACAGCTAGGAGAAAATGGTTTCTGGATGTGGAATTCATACCTTGATTTTTACAAGTGGAGGGTGGGGGCCTTGTTGCCAATACAGAGGAATCAACCAAGGCCAGGCTGAGCTGGTCCCCATGTCATCACAAGTTATGCTGTGATCCCGCCAAGGGCTTCTGCTGCTCCTTCAGGTTGGATTAGACAAACCTCCCAGTGTCCGTTGCGGCCTCTAGAAGGCACTATGCTGTCCATGTCCACCTGCCAGTATGGCTGCTGTGTTGGGTAAGGTTTGCCCTCTGCAGTGAGACCTAATTCCAGGAACCCGCGAGTGGTACCGCTTGATGGCTGACTCTCAGGGTGGATCAGATTGTTGAATACAGATCTTGATCATTCCTGTTGTGTTTGTTCTTCACCACGCGTGCTTTCTAAAAGAAAAGTTCTTGGGAAATGAAGATCCTTGGTGAAAGTCCCCTTTTCACTCCAGGCCCTTGGCATGTCTTCCTTGGTTTCTGTTAGTTTTTCTTGGTCCCTGTTGTGTGAGGCTTTGGTCTTGCTGATTGAGGTGTTGAGATTTAAGCCTCTGCATACGGAGCCGTGGTGGTCTTGAGATGTGTGTGCTGCTGCAGGTCCTGTACTGGTTTCCTTGGCTGGGCATCTTGTCCCACCCCACCACCCTGGTCTCTTCAGCCCAGCCCTTCCTTATCTCATACACACCTGTCATTTCTAGTCCTCTTCTCTCTTATCAAGGCTCAGGTTAGAGTCAGTTCTGTGTTCCATGCCCTAGTGACCCTGAGGGATAGCCTGTGCTGCAGAGAGCCATGTCACCAAGGTCAGGTGCTCCCGGGATGGCATCTGTGTCTAGGTGTGAGGCCTGGCCTTGACGCTGTGTGCCCCGAAGAGGTCTGTGAATTTGCCATCCACCCTTCTGCCTACTCCAGCTTCCCACAGGCCTTCCTCTATACCTTGTGTACGAAATTCAAGTTTCCAAGAGTGGGCCTCCTGGGGATCCTACCCTGCAACCCCTGAGTGATGGAGACCAAGGAAGCATGACGCAAGCAGGTGCTGCCCACTGATAGGTAGCAGACATAAGCAGTGGCCACAGAGGAAGAAAGGGAAAAAAAAAAAAAAACATTGTAACTCACCTTCCCAACTCCACTAATGTAAGATCAGGTACGAGAGCCCAGGGGCTATCACAGAATGGTTTGAAGTCAGCCATGACCCTGAAGTTAAATTCACCGTACCCAAGAGTAATCCTAAACATCAACTAAGTCTGGAGCAGGGAGGGTTTCTCAAGTGAATTTAACAAAGACCCATACCTAAGAGCAAGATAGAGCGAAAGTTAGGAATTTCAGACATCACTTAGTGCAGGAACTAGTAGATTACACGAAGTTTCCCTTAGCAAGACAGCGATTTAAACCCAGGAAATCACACCAGGGGCCAAAAGGACTCAAAGCCAAGAGTTCCTCAATTAATATCCCAACTTTCAAAACCTGACGCCCATCTTTCACTCCCTTGAGTCAACCCACTTTCAGTCTGTTGAAAGTGTATTCCTTTCTTAATAAACTTTACTACATCTTTTGCATCTTGGTTGAATTTTTCTGTGGGACTCACGAACTGAGGTAATTATCAATGCTGTTTTTCTTACCAGAAAGTATACAGTATACACACAGTATACAGAAACTTGGCTGAGAGATGAAGGTGGTTCTGCATGGGTACTGAGGGGAATAGGCAAAATACCATCAAAAAAATGCTCTGGACTTTGTGACTCTGGAAAACTGGTGGGCTGATGGGATCGACCCAGGAGTGGTAGCCCTCCTTGGGCCTCAGAATGAGCAAAGGGCCACTCTGAAATGACATGTTCCCCACAAGGACAGAGTGCTGGAGCATGAAGTTGGAAGTCACTGC